AGGGTTGAGTGGGAGGGAGAATGGGGAGTGACTGCTAATGGATACAAGGATTTTTGGGGGGTAATAAAAATGTTCTAAAACTGGATTGTAGTGATATACAACTCTGTGAATGTACTAAATACTGTATTTTTACACAAATAAAGCTCATGTTCTACATTTGTTTGCCAACCGCGCCCTCCCCTCCCCTCTATCCCCTCCCCTCTGAAGTTTGTTTTTGTACAGAAGCATGTAAAAAAAAATTGAAAATACCTGGGGAGGGGGTGAGGTTGGCAAAAACCTGTCGCACACAGGCATTATTTGTGTAAAAATACAGTACTAAACATGTAATACAAAATATATACTAAAAACTATTTAACTATGTTTTAAATGGGTGTATATTTATATGTGAATTATACCTCAATAAGTCTATCTGCAAAGAAAAATGCGTCACCATCCATGCAGTTGCTCAAGCCAAAATCTAGAAGTCTCTGTTGTTTCCTCTCTTTCCACATCTCCCAGGAACTCTCCAGTCTCTCCCGGCCCACCCCTGTCACCACCATCCGTATCTCCTCACCTGCCACTGCCCCATTCCCAGCCTCACCACTGCTGGACCTCGAGACACCTTCAGACCTCCCACTGGTGTCCTGTGTTTCCCAGAGAAAGGACAGGAGGCCTTGGGCTTCCCTCCTTATTTCTTGGGAATCTTTGATAATATGCCATGCTGTTTCTTTTTTGTCTCTCTGTTGTCTTCTCAGAGCCCTGGTGGCGCAGTGTTTAGGAGTTCGACTGCTAACCAAAAGGTCAGCAGTTCGAATCTACCAGGTGCTCCTTGGAAACCTCACGGGGGCAGTTCTACTCTGTCCTATAGGGTCTCTATGAGTCAGAACCGACTCCATGGCAACAGGTTTGGTTTTGGTTTTATTGTCTTCTCATGGAGCCTCTGAGTGGTGCAAATGGTTAAGAGCACTCAGCTGCTAACTGAAAGGCTGGAGGTTTGACCAGCTGGAGATGCCTTGGAAGAAAGGCCTAGCAATCTACCTCTGAAAGGTTGCAGCCATTGAAGACCCTATGGAGTGTAGTTCTACTCTGGCATACATGGGGTCACTATGAGTTGGAGTGGACTCCATGGCAACAGGTTTGCTCATCTTGTCAAGCTATCTGCATGAGGTTGGCGTGGGAAGAGAAGCCCTGATGGTACAGTGGTTAAGCACTCCATGGGAGAAAGATGTGGCAGTCTGCTTCCGTAAAGACTACAGCCTTGGAAACCCTATGGGGCAGCTCTACTCTGTCACATGGGGTTGCTATGAGTCAGAATTGACACAATGGCACCCAACAACAATAATAAAATACACGCAAAAATTTAAAAATTAATTGTAATACACAATGTTAGCAAGGGTATGGAAAGAAAAATAACACACTCAAGAAATACAGGTGTGAAAACAATTGGTATAAGCTTTCCGGAAAATTAATTGGACTTTAAAAATGTTTACATAAACTTTTATCCAATAATCAGACTGTAAATAATCTATCCTAAAGAAACAGTATGAATAAAGGCAAATAATTATATACAAAGATGCCATTTGTGACATTATTTAAAATCATGTAAACTAAGTAGAACCTTATTTCCAGTATGGAGCCCTGGGGGCAGAGCAAACAGTTAAGCGCTTGGCTGCTAACCAAAAGGTTGGCAGTTCAAACTCACCCAGTGCACTCCAAGGGAGAAAGACCTGCCAATTTTCTCCCATAAAGATTACCAAAAAACCAAACCCACTGCCATCGAGTCCATCCTGACTCACAGTGACCCTACAGGACAGAGCAGAACTGCCCCAGAGGGTTTCCAAGGCTGTAAATCTTTATGGAAGCAGACTGCATCTTTTTCTCAAGGAGCAGCTGATGGGTTGGAACCACCAACCTTTTGGTCAGCAGCCAAGCGCTTTAATCACTGTGCCACCAGGCTCCTCCCATAAAGATTACAGCCAAGAAAACCTTGTGGGCCGTTTCTATTCTGTCACACGGGGTCGCTATGAGTAGGAATCAACTTGACTGCACCCAACAACAACAAGAAATTTCCAGCAATCGGAGAATGATTATTTAGATTCTGGTTATTATTGCTCACTCCCATCCACTCTTCTCACTCCTTCAAGAAGCAGTCCCTAAAGTACTTCTGTACTTCATCTGTATTCCTCTCTGGTTACAAGTTCTCAAAGCACTATGTTCCTTGCTTCTGTAACACTACAATGCAAAATTACGTATTTATTTTTGTGCTTGTATTTTAATGTCTATCTCATCCATTAGACTGTAAGGTACCTGAAGGCAGGAACTCTCTCTGTTTTGTTCACTGCTGTAGTCCTGAACCTACACTTCCTGGCACATAATACTTACCTAAATTACTTTTTAATAAATGAAATAATGCACAAAACAGAATGTTAACCATTAAAACATTTCTGAAACATCTTGATGGAATAGGAAATGCCTGCAATATGGTATTAGTGGGAAATGTAATATTTAAAAATGCATAGAAAAAATTGGACTATCCCTTAATATTAACACTGGCTGTTCAGTTCAAACACTCCAGTTCAATATAGATAACTATTATTTTCTTATGTTTTTTCTATATTCAGAATTTTTTACAATGGGTATGTATTATTTCCTTAAAATGTTTTATTGTGGTAAATATATGTGTAGCAAATCATTTGCCTTGTCAATATTCTTCACATGTACAGTTCAGTCCATTAGTTAGGCGTATCATGTTGTTCAGCCATTACCACTATCCATTTTGAATTTTCCCAGCACCCTTAAAAGAAGCTTAGTGTCCCACAAGCAATGAGTCCCTCTCCCCACACCTCCATCCTGCCTGCCCCTGGTAACCATTAATAAACTTCGGTCTCTATACACGTGCCTGTCCTACATATTTCATTCAAGTGGGATCATATAACACATGTCCCTTTGTGACTGACTTATTTCATTCAGCATAATGCTTTCAAGGTTTGTCCATGTGGTGGTATGTATCGGGGCTTCATTTCTCTTTATGGCTGAGGAATTTTTGTTGTTGTTCTAAATCACATGATTTTATTAATTTTTTTATATTGCCACTAGTTTCTTGTTGTTGAAAATATATACAGCAGAACATACCCCAATTCAACAATTTCTACGTATACAATTCAATGACACCGATTACATTCTTGAAGTCGTGCAACCATTCTCACCTTTCTGTTCTAAATTATTCCACCCCATTAACATAAACTCACTGCTCTCTAAGCTTCCGTATCTAACCTTTCAAGTTACTGTTGTCAATTTGATCATATACAGACAATTCTTTAAAAGAGCACCATGCTCAAGGCAGACATTCTTTACCAGGTAAACTAAACTATTGTTTGGCTAAGGAGCCCTAGTGACGCAGTGGTTAAGCACTCGGCTGTTAACCAAAAGGTCGGCGATTCAAACCCATCAGCCACTCCATGGGAGAAAGATGTGGCAGTCTGCTTCAGTAAAGATTTACAGCCTTGGAAACCATATGGGGCAGTCTACTCTGGTCTATAGTTTTGCTATGAGTCAGAATTAACTCAACAGCAGTAGGTTTGGTTTGGTTTTAAGAAAACTTCAGGCGATATTTTTGGTTTAAGGTTTATCTTAGTTATCTAGTGCCACTATAACAAAAATACCACAAGTGGATGGCTTTTAACAAAGAGAAATCTGTTCTCTCACAGTCTAGTAAGCTGTAAGTCCAAATTCAAGGCATCAGCTCTGGGGGAAGGCTTTCTCTCTCTGTCGGCTCTGGAGGAAGTTCCTTGTGATGCATCAGTCTTCCCATGGTCTGGGAACATCTCAGCACAGGAACCTCAGGTCCAAAGGCTGCACTCTGCTCCTGGCACTGCTTTTTTGGTGGCATGAGGTGCCCATGTCTCTCTGCTCACTTCTCTCTTTTATATCTCAAAAGAGATTGGCTTAAGACACTACCCAATCTTGTAGACCTCATCAATATAACTGCCGCTAATCCATCTTATTACATCATAGTGACAGCATTTATAATACATAGGGAAATCACATCAGATGATAAAATGGTAGACAATCATACAATACTGGGAATCATGACCTAGCCAAGTTGACAGATATTTTTTGGGGGATACAATTCAATCTATGAGAAGGTTTATAGATTTTGTCAGGGCGATAGTTTCAGGGGTTCATCCAGCCTCCTTGGCTCCAGAAAGTCTGGATCCCAAAATAATTTTAAATTCTGTTCTGCATTTTCCCCCTTTTGATCAAGATTCTTCTATACAATCTCTGAACAAAGATTCAATAATGGTCATGGCTGAGTAATTTTTAAAATAAAATAACATTGAAACCCTGGAGGAAACCACATGAGCAGAGGAATGGAGGGACAAAAGCAAGCAAGTGCAGAGGACATCAAGGAGATGACAATGAACAGCCACTGCAGAGTAGGAGGAGAGGGTTGGGAAGGCAGCATGTCCTTCTGTTAGCAAATGCAGTATTTTCAAGATTTCTGAACAGGATACTGATGTGGTCAGTTCTATACTGTAGGAAGATCTCTCTGACAAAGTTGTACAGCAGGGTATAGCAAACCATAGCCAGCAGGTCAAATCGAGCCCACCACCTGCTTTTGTAAATAAAGTTTTATTGGAACACAGCCACATCCATTTATTCACATTTGTCTATGGCTGCTTCTGTGCTACAACAGTCGAATAGTTACAATGGAGACTGTTAGCCCCGTAAAACCTAAAATACTTACTATCTGGCCCTTCATAGAAAAGGTTTTCAGAACCCTGGTCTATAGGATCTATTAGAGAAGGGAGAAATTTCAAAAAGCCAGGAGGCAGTAACAAGGGCCACCATTTTAAAGGTGACATGGAGAATGACAGTGGCAGGCAGATGAAAGTTGCAGACAGGTGGAAGAACAGAAAAAAGTTCCACTTAAAAGGGTTAGGGGAATTCATATTTTAGATCGCTACATCCATTTTATGTTGTTGATATTTAAAAGTGCAGCAGGAAAAAGCATCGGTTACCTGCTGGATCCGCGTTGTAGAGACTGGCAGCAGCTGCTATGGGTCCTGGTGGATGAATGGCGCTTGCTGAAGACCTTTGACTTGCGATCAGAATCCTGCTCTTTGCAGACGGCAAACGGGACATCGCGCCCAATCCCAACTGGGGTTTAAGGAGCATGGCAGATCGATAGAAAGTCGGAGGAACTTCATAATGAGTATAGGGAGGAGAACAAAATTCTTCTTTCCCAGGGCAGTCTGTAACCTATGATGAATTATCAGAAGGTCAATTAGAGTGTGTCCCATCATAGTATGGGTACTGAACATGGTCAGGGGACAAAGCTCTAACAGTGACTACGCTGGCACCACTGACTTACTTGATCACAGATCACTTATCTTCTCTAGGCCCCAGTGTCTTCATCTCTAAGTCAACAATATAAATTGTATGATCTTTCATTTCTCTTCCAGTTCTAATATTCCATGAAGCTATATTTCACCGGCGGAAAAAGAACTCATTCGATAAGTGTTTTTAACTTCCCTATCCTTAAAAATCACTGGAATTGGTACAAGTAGTCAATCTACAAATAAAAAACATCAGTGAAGCAAAGAAAGAAATTGGCAAACACTGGTAAAATTTTGAAAGTTTCATTATACCTAAAGAGACAAAGCACAACCCTCGTCTTACAATACGTAGCTAGACTTTATCATATGTTAAGCCTTTACTAGGCTACTTAGGGAAGAAAAATGCATTGTTAATGAGGGAGAAAAGCTATTTGGAAAAATACAGAAGTTACAGGTATCTACTATGTGTTTACATAACTTAAAATAAGAGACTACGAATTACCTCCAACTGTCTTCCCCCAGTAAGGTGATGTCCCCAAAAACGTTTGATCAAGTTTCACTAGAATGTGGTAAGTTTCCTAGGACAGAGGAATTACGGCTGAATTCCTAGAACAGTGTTCGTACCCTGGTGGCACAGTGGTTAAGAGCTCGGCTGCTAATCAAAAGGCCGGCAGTTCAGATCCACCAGCCGCTCCTTGGAAACCCTATGGGGCAATTCTACTCCGTCCTACAGGGTTGCTATGAGTCAGAGTCAACTTACTGGCAACGGGTTTGGTTTTTCGTTTTTTTTGGCTTAGAACAGTGTTAAGGAGCCCTGGTGGCATAATAGTTAAGCACTTGTCTGCTAACCCAAAGGATGATGTTTGAATCCACCAGCCACTCTGCAGGAGAAAACACCTGGAGATCTGCTCCCATAAAGATTGCAGCCTGGGAAACTCTATGGGGCAGTTTTACTCTTACATAGGGTCGCTTTGAGTCAGAATCGACTTGAGGGCACACAACAACAGAACAGTTGAAGCACATAGTTGAAGCTTGATAAATATGTATTAAAGGAGCCATGTTTCTCTTCTTTTCTAAATTTAATAACATAACATTACCATTACCCTCTCCTGTAGTATTACAATTTACTGATACCTTTTATATATGCAACCATTGTGTACTCGCAAAGCTCATATGTACTCATATTATCTGTGCTTCTTCACATTAAAAATGAAAAAAGGCAGAACTAAATGATCTATTTCTTTTAAATTTTAATAAAAAAATAATGCCAAAGGCTATGTATGAAAAGATACATCTGTTAATGAGTTCTGCTTTAAATCACAATACATTTCAGGTGTAGAACTTATATCTATTCCAGAATCATGAGCATTTAAGCAATATTCTTTAATAGGGACTATAAAAGCTTTGATCCAACCTGTTCAAGAGAAAAATCTCTAATCTGATACTCTTTTAATGTTGAAATAGATACAAAGTTCTCCTCAAAGCTGACATTATTGAAACAAAAGGTAAGGTCTTTAATGTTTTATCATAATTACATTGTAAAATATGCATGATCGCTGGAGTAGATAGTCTGACATCAGGCTCAGGCAAATTATACTCCTGTGAATGAACATTCTACAGCTGCTCTCTGATAAAATTTTTACCATTCTCTGCTCTCACTATTAATCTTTGGCTTTTTAAATTATACTTGGATACCCTGTATTTTTATTTACCTATTTTTAATTTTGGTTTCTAAATTTTTGGTGCTATTGCTCATTGCTTTTAGCAGGTGCTCTCATGAAGAAATTATGATCACTTCCAATCTACATCTATCAGGTTCTTAGGATTTGCAGGGTGCTGATCTCTATAAGAAGGAGCTCTGGTTGCTCAGTGGTTAAGCACTCGGCTGCTAACCAAAAGGTCAGCGGTTCAAACCCACCAGCTGCTCCAAGGAAGAAAAGACCTGGTGATTTGCTCCCGTAAAGATTACAGCCATGCTTTTTTTATTTTTAATGGCCAGTTCAACAATCTTTTACATGTATAGTTCAGTGACATTGATTACGTTCACCATGTTGTGCAACCATCACCACTCTCTTTTCCCAAATTCTTCCACCTCCATTCACAGTTCAGCACCTCCTAAGCAACGACTCCCCCTTCCTCCTGTTTTTCCCAGTTGCTGTCCAGGAGATTCCAACTCTAGCACCCCCATGTGTTTCAGGATAGACCTGCACTCTATAGGGTTTTCATTGTTGTGACCTTTCAGAAGCAGATCACCAGGCCTTTCTTCCGAGGTGCCTCTGAGTGAGTTCAAACTGCCCACCTTTTGGTCACTAACCCAGAGCTTAACCTTTTGTGCCACCCAGGCCCTCCTCCTGGTAGCCACAAATAAACTCTGGTCTCTAACTTTGCCTATTTCATGTAAGTGGGATTGTGCTCCATGAATTTTTAACAAAACAAGGGAGTCTACCAAAAGCTCTGCACTCTTTCATCTTCATTAACAGAACACAACAGGGCATGCTGCACTGCTATACCCACAGAGAAAAACCTGAAATGGTTTTTTCTTCCCTAATGGAGCTTTCTAAGAGAAATACTTTCGGAAGCAAAGCAAAAGAAAGATTCCTTGAAAACTACTGCCCTGAGATAATTTTTAAACCTTAAACCAAAAATATCCCCTGAAGTCTTCTTTAAAGTAAACGATAGTTTAGCTTAACTAGTAAAGAATGTCTGCCTTGAACATCGTGCTTTTTTAAAGAACTATCTATACGGGATCAAACTGACAATAGCAACTCGAAAGGTTAGATGGGAAGCTTAGGGCGCAGTGAGTTTACATTAATGGGAGAGGAACAGTTTGGAAAAAGAAGGCGAGAATGGTCACACAACTCAAAGACAGTAATCAGTGTCACTGAACTGCACATGCAGAAACTCGTGAACTGGTGTATGTTCTGCTGTGTGTATTCTCAACAACAAATAAAAAAATCCATATGCAAAAATAAATAATCAAATCAAATTACAAAAAGAATCCTTGGGATTTCAAACAAACTCTTAAAAGCCATCAAGGCATACTCACAAATGCATTCTTGCTGGACTGTCCCTCTTCCCCGGGAGACAGAGGGTAAGTGCAGAAGCTTGCCGAGAGGCCATTCGGATAGCGGCAGGGAAGACGGTGCTCATCAAAGACATGATGTGGCACCTGCCCCTGAGCCACACACCTGTATATAGCAAGCCCGAGACCTCAGGTCCTGTCTTCTCATCACTGCCCCTTTTCCCACCTTCTTTCACCAAAAATTAAAAGGGCTCACCAATATCCCGAAGAAGTCAGTGGGAAGGAGTCCTCCTCAGCCCTTAGTCTAGGCAACAGCAGAAAGCAGTCTAAGCAAGTGAGAATATTTTTCACCCTTGGTGAACTTCCAAAAAATCAGCCACTGAATACCCTGGGGAGCACAGTTCTACTCTGACACACGTGGGGTGGCCATGAGTTGGGATCAACTTGATGGCAACTGGTTTGGAGTCCCTGGGTGGCGCAAACTGTTACATGTTCAGCTGCTAACTGAAACACTGGAGGTTTGAGCCCACCCAGAGGTGCCTTGGTAGAAAGGCCGGGTGATCTACTTCTAAAGATTCAGCCATTGAAGGCCCTATGCAGCACAGTTCTACTCTGAACCACATGGGATTGCCATGAGCTGGAGTCAATTCCATGGCAACTGGTTGTTGTTTTTTCACCTGACTAGATTCAGAATTAACTCTGAAACCACTTTTCTGATGCTTTAAATGTTTCTGTTGCTCCTGCCAGCTGGTAAGCTATTTTCTCCCTGAGAAGGGTATTTATGTTTGATTTCTCTGTTTATATCTATGCTATCTATCCTGCTGGGCACTGCCAATAGCGATTAAAAAAAAAAAAAATCTGCAGTTGTTTTTTTTTTTAAAGACTCTCTCATTGTATGTATTAAAAAAAAAATATGGCTTCTGCATTAAAAAATTATTTCTGTTGCAAAGGTCATGGAAGCCCCATAGACACATCCAAACTCCCTGAGGGACTGAATTGCTGGGCGGAGGGCTGTGGGGACCACGGTCTCAGGGAACATCTAGCTCAATTGGCATAACACAGCTTATAAAGACAATGCTCCACATTCTACCTTGGTGAGTAGTGTCTGGGGTCTTAAAAGCCTGTGAGTGGCCAT